TAAAATTATTATAATAATAAAAAAAGGATAAAGCATTTGCCGTTGATCAATCCCTTTTTGGGATGCGGCACGCATTCTACTTCCATTTGTACATTCAGTGGCGTTTGAATGCGATGTGGCCTATACAATGACTTGCGGGGGCCAGCCGATGTACAAGTCAGTGTTTTTATCCTCCCAGACAAGTCTGGTACCAATTAACCGACCCCGGAGGGATGGAAGGCTTGGTTGGCCCGGGCGACTCACGACCCAGGATTTGATCCCCGGACCGCTCGCGTGGTAAGCGCGCCACTTGTCACTACACCACTTCCGCCCCCTTTACATAATATTAATACAAAATATACAATAAGAAAATGTAATGAATAAGGAAAATAAAATGAAGTAAAAACAAAAAATGGAAAGTTGACCTGTTGGTCGTTGATGACCCATTATTCGATTCAACCTTTACACATTTTGAGTCCTCAGTTTCGGCATGGGGTCTCAAGCTTGGCGCATCCTAGCGGGTGTTTTCTTTGATCCCGTTTGGACCACTTTTGACCTCGGGTTTTTTTTGTTTTCAAAGGTTTCTGTGCTATAAGTTAGCGTAGCGGCGAAAGGTTCTGTTTCCTACTGCACAGCCATTCTCGTCGTGGGTTCGGCGCGCCGCCGCACGCCCACAGATGGGTAAACTTTCGCCGTCTGACCCTTACCGTTTAGCAGAGAGAGAGAGAGAGAGAGAGTCAATTCTATTAGGTACTTAAAATGCATCTATTCTCATATTTTCTTCTGTAGAACTCCCACTGGAAATTCGATCAGAGTTTGGCAGGGCGGCTGTCCCCAGAGATTGTAATGCTTGTCAATTAGTCGCGACCATTAATTGCTGTTGTCGGGAAGAAATCAGACACTGCTGTTGCACTTACGGCCGTTCGTCGCGACAACTTACTGGGTTTCCCAGGAGTTCAGAGCGTTTTTTTTTTGGAATCACATTATTTTACACGAGCCGATTCCCGTCGGGCTGGATTGCCCGGAAGCATAACTTCTCGCCCTGCCAACGTGTACGACCCACTTCCTCGCTTTACGCAGTTGAACGTGATCGTTCTCTGTGTTCCATTGGATTGGATTATTTGGTGGATTTTCGGCACAGGGCATATTTACGTGTTTTTTCGTTATTGTTATTTACTGATTTTTACACTTACTACAAATTCCGTGATCGACTATGCATGGACGTTCCGATGTCTCTCCCGTAAAATCTGAACACGCTAACCCCCTTCTACAAGTTTACCAATCCCAGTTCTCTGGAATTGACCTACTGTGCTCTAAATGAATCAACTCTGCTGCTTTATGTTTCACAAGAATGCTGGTTGTGAACAAAATTTTCGCCCACAAGACGGGACTTCGAACTCGCAACCTCTTGCTTCGCGGGGCAGTGGTGCTAACCTGTTACGTTACGAGGCACATTTCATCACAGCTCACGTACTTTAGTTCTGGGTACTTTTATCACTGTCATGTGTCATGGCTGCCCTTCCCTTGTGTTGAGCCTTCCCTGTCTGTTATATGGCCCTGAGAGGAGATAGGAGACCTACTAAGTTGGTATTCGAAGCCGCCCTCCCCCAGTGGCTTGCAATGTTGGCTAGCCATTGCCCTTGTTCTCATAGTGGCGGACAATTATCTCTCCCTCTTCCCCATTCCCCTTCCCGGATTTTATCGATCTTAGTGTTCTTTATTGAATATTGACACACTTTGCGATTAATGTCGTTTGATTCATATTGTAACTAGCTTGATAATTTGTTCTTATTCCTCTTTTGAAACAATCTCAACGCTTATAGCTCTATGAAACAACAAGCAACTCCATATATAATAAATAATAAGTCAAAATAAATAAATAAATGAATAAAGGTCCGTTCCGATTACAGGAAACCGGTTGGAGAAAGGTTGGCTTTAAGATTGAACGCACATGAAAATATTGCCTGCTTTTTCGGAAATTATTCTCTATTGTCGTTTTCTTATTTATAGCTACTTTTATGTGGTTCTCACCCTATTTCTCCTTCCTTCGATTACAATACTCGTCGACTTAAGTGCAATACCCGTCAATAACCAGGTGAGGGACAATCGAATTTTACAGAATGCCGTGTTTTTTAAATATGTTGGACATGTTTTAACCCACATCCAACATCCAACCTTTCGGACCCAAATGTAAATGTGGGGCCCGCTACCAAGGTTCCTAATCAAGGTCGGTCACTTCGCAGGGTTTTTGAGAGCAGTGGAACTTTTTTCCCTACTGGTTAGGACCTTCATCTGGCCCTTCCTGTCATCCGCTGAAATCTATCATCTCGAGCCTTCATTCACCAAAGAGCCAGGGGCGGTATAGAAATATTCCACCACATTCCAGAAAACCCACCACTTCAAGAAATAGCAAGCCATTTTTTTGAAGCGTGGCTCTTTCAAAATGCCCAGATATTACAGCTGCTCTCCCCTTCTTTCCTTTCCCCTTGCATACTCGTATCCGACACTTACGTTCTGATCCTATTGATGGGTTCCTGATATGGTTTCGATTAATAGAATTCATGGGCCTTTTTGTTTATATTATTGTTTATTGTTTATATTTTATTTCTTTAATTATTTATTTACCCGTCATCGTTATCTGTTTCAGGTTGTATGAATGGATGACAGTGAGACGTCCGTCACGGACCTGTCGGTCTCACCGGAGTCGGTGGCGATTGCCGTCGGTGGAGGGGGTGTTGGCGGTATGTGCTACAATATGCCCAATTCTTCATGCTGCGGTAGTATCCCAGGTAAGGACTTCTATTGAGTTTCAGATGTATCTTAAGTTTTATGATCCTTGTGGTCCTTATGATCCTTATGATTTCCATCTCTAGGCATTACCAGCAGCCGCCAAGCACATCTACAGTCGCCTGGCAGCGAATGCTTCCGAAGTCGATGAGGGCATGCCAAATCTCATAGTTAGCCTAGTGTCAAATGGGAATCAGCTCTGGTTGTCTCTCTTAGAGGTCCTGCCTGGTTCTGAAGGATTGACTTTTTATTTCCAGTACCTGTCACGCTTCCAATCCGCCCTCAATGTGCTGATAGGCGGTGGTAGTTTATGGTTGATTTCTTCTGGAGAACATCACGATCCTCTGGCCAGGACGGTCAGCAGTGCACTACGAACGGTACTTCCGCAGGTACTGAAAGCTCGTGATTCTTTGGGAGAGCTCAGCTCACTAACCAGCTGATTCACAGACCGAACGGGATGTCGAAGTTCTGCATATGATGGTGAATACAATGGCAGTAACTGCGAGGGAAGAAGGTCGTCTCATGGTTGACGCTTCCCTCAATACACTTCTGCTTCTGTCCAGGAACCTTGAACCTGGCGAGGAGGCCGTGTTCAGGGCCAATGCTGTTGTGAGACTCGCTCATCCTCCTCCAGGTGAGTCTACAGTGTCGTAGTGGTTAGTACTTACGGTATCCCTTGAAGTGTGTGGGAATGGCAACTTAAGAAAATGTTATCCACTTTGGTGAGGGCCCGTCCGTCCATTTTTTCAAGCCCTGTACGAAATAACTTTTTTGTTACGAAAGCGAACAGCATATCGGCGCTTACATGTCTCATAGGTTACCCTACACCGTAAATCGATCCCCCCATACAGGTGTAGAAGTGGATGTGCCACTCAGGCCGGGGTGTGAATGACTTGCGGTGAAAGAGACGAAGCTTCCAGCGTGGATAGACCTTTTTTATGGGGTGCCTCAAATGGTGATTATGGTTTAGTTACCCTGGTGGAGTTTTTGAATCCAGTGTTCTCCGCGCAACCTCGCGGTAGCACCGCTTTCCGCTACACCACCTTCGCTGGTTGCATGATTGTTCACCCTGAATCTTATTCCATTTTTGCACCATTTTCTTATTAGACGGTGTTGGTAGAANNAANNNGAGGGCCGAGNNTNCTTCNGAATNCGCNATGTCTTTAAAGTCCCGTTTAGATCCAGAGGTGTTTTTATCCGCATATTTTGGGCTGGTGAACTGCAACGTGCGGATTATCTTTGGAACTTTTCTTCGACGGTGAACTGTCTATACCTTCTCCAAAAGGATTGCCATTCTCTTGCGTGTGGCCTCGTTCCAATTTTACCTGACGGCACACGAAGATAGTTTTGTGCATGGTGCGATCTTTGGGCCACTACTCAGATACAACCTCGTGGGGTGGCATTTTCAGGCGCTGCTTATCGGTGTACCATCAGAGAACATTTCTGGTTCTGCAGTATCCGGAGCAGCACCACCAATTCTTGCTCTCTCCTTCCAATGACAAGCGGCCGTTACCAGCCGTGATCTTTGCAGGTTTTTGTCAGTTTCAGATCGTTAGGAATTCCTCGTTTCTAGAACGTTTTTCCAAGTTTCAGGAGCCTCCCTGATGGCCCTTCGGGGAATTGCTCGTCTACGTTGAGAATGGGATTCCCATAATTGTACTACAGGTAGGAATAACTCTTTAGCCATCGAAGCTTACTCAATAGTACTGTCCTTTCATTGAAGGACAGTTGCGAACTCTGTGTGGTCCTGCACAGCGCTTACCTGCTCTATCGATCGGCGCAGTTCGAACATTCGAAGTTCGTGTCACCTGGCTTGGAAGAGCAACTCGATGCGATCGCGATTGGAGATGTGGCAACAGCCACGATCACGGCAGTGAAGATATTCGCCACTGCGTTTGGTGACCACTCAACTCATTGAGTTCTTGGATAGCGACGAGGTACCGGCGTATTTACACTTCGTTGCGGTATCCGCCAACACACACCTCCATGTGCTCTGGGCAACCTGAGATTGGAAGGGTAGTTGGCCGGCAAGTGCAAGGGCCTGGCAACCTATGTGAGGTCGAGTGCGCGCGAAAGTCTGAGCACTCAATAATTGCTGCTAGTAGCTAAATGGATTCAGAAGGGAGGAGGTGTTTCGATTCTTAGCCAGACCGAACTCGCAAGCTCACAGCACAGTTCCTTTTGCCTTTCCTGTGACATACAAATTACGAAGCGCTTTTTTCTGGCATACATTCCTCATTTGTGAAGAATTCAGTTGCCGTCTTTACCATCGCGAATCATCGAACTTTGTCTGCAATGTCACAGTGGATCAACAGAAGCCCGTCAACTTTTGCAACTGGCCACCCACATCAATGAGCCATCAATACTGAATGGAATGGATCTTGAAGAACTGCTTGACGATGAGGTGAGAGATGGTAAATGACGTCTTTGGAATGCCGTCGTCGTGACAACTCGAGTTTCCAGATGGTGACGATGATCCTCTGCGAAACTGTGGCTGTTGCTGATCGTGTCGCCTTTTTGGCAGCGATTCTTGAACGAAAACCACATATTTCTATCAGCTCAGAGATGTTGTTGAAAATGGCCCGAAGCTCGTCTGATCAGGTGAGTTACCATTCTGACTTCTTTTCCATTTTTTATTCGAACGCTATTTCTTCTACGTCGTAACTACTTAATTCTGAAACTATTAGAAACCGGAAGAACTCTTGAATTTTTATCTACGGTCTCCGGTAGTTTCGGTTTTGACAGGTTTCCTTTTTGAATGGGATCAGCCGTCACCTTGTGTCGGTTTCGAGATTTTTACGGCTTCTCTCGAAGAGGAAGTTCCTCGTACGACCCGGATTGGGTTCCTTGTATGACCCCCAACGCTAAAAGGTGTCGATGCCGTCGTTAATCTTCCGAAATAGCAAACAGCAACGTACATATTCGTCATATCACATTTCTTCCACTCCCACGACCCTTGACTATGACTCTCGATCAGAAATGAAAAATACGTCTTCCCCCCCCCACCTCCCTTCACTTCGTCTCAGAGCAAGACTTACAAGCAGGGACCGCCCGGTGAGCCGCCCATGTTCTTTTCATAAACTGACGAAGACTTTGAAATTATGAGCAATAAGGGATGTGTGGTTCTCGGTGATTTCGTTAGCGACCTCTGCATTTCCTCACTGGGCCAGTCACTTTTGGATAGTACCTGTACCTTCTATTTTTGATCCGCACCTCTCCCACATCATGAAGCATGCTTCCAGTAAGAAAATTCAGAAAAGTCATGAAAAACTCAATATGAAGAAATCAAGAATTGCCCTACAATTTCTAATGTACTCGATCAAGCCACTTGTCGCTGTTACTTTATTGGAGCAATCCCTCCGGCGAGTGAGGTTGGTTGGGTTGTAGTCACAGAAGTTTGGTGACTTCACTACTCGAGATACATGGTAAGGCCAGAGACTCAGGTCTTACAACCGTGGGCCTTCCAGGCAACCGAGTGCGCCCGGAAGTGAGTCGCAGATTGTTCCCTCATAGAGCGCTAAGGCCGATGTCAGACTTTGCGAATCGCGCGATTCGCTAGCGTCCGCGGTCGCGTTGCGGTACCAGCCAATTGAGTGATTCACTGGCCGCGACGCGACCGCAGACGCTAGCGAATCGCGCGATTCGCAAAGTCTGACATCGGCCTAATCGACACCACGTATAAAGGAGGCCTTTGGAAATATTGCCAGCAGTTTTTTTTCACTTTTTCTTCACTGGCAATTCACTTAGCACCCACTTCACTTAATTCGAGTATTCTTTCAAACAACTATTTGTTTGCTACCAGAGCCATGCATTTTTTGTAAAGTCTCATACGAGCATATTTTTCGGAGCCATCAGGAGCGTTTCTGTCGTGAGCGCTTGGGAATTTTACTCATCATATCGAATCTGAGATCATCATTTTATCTGACGCTTTTCCTTTGTTGCGCTCTTTCTACTATTTCGTATTTTTCAGCATTTTTTCACAACGGTGGTTCTTTGTCAGTGCATGGGTTATTCGTCATTTCCAGAAGAACTTGACGATAAGTTCGTGCACGATCTCAATCGGTTATTGGTAGAGTTTTC